TCCATCCGCTCCGCCATTGCCCGCTGGCGGACTGGGCGCCCGCGGTGCGGCGGCTCGGCCCGAAGCGATCCGCGCCATCGCGGGGCGGCGGGCGTGAGGGGAGCGGCGCTGCGGGGTCCCTGCTGCCGGCCTGCGGGGAGGCCAAATCTCGGCCGGCGACTAGCGGCGCGCCGCCTTGCCTTATCGGCAGCCCCGCGCCCCCCCCGGCCGCCCGGGCGGCGGAGGGGCAGGAGGGAGGGCGGCTCCGCCGCGCGGCCCGTATTGTGTTCCCCGAGGCGCCCTCGGTGCCCGCTAACCTGCTCAGACCGGTTGGGAAGCGCTGCGGCCTGCGGAGAGCGAAGGCGGCGAAGGCTGCCTTTTCGGAAGTTCCTTATCCCCGAAGTTTTATTTGTAGCTTTCGCAGCACGGGCGACGTTTTTCGTTATTTCTCGGGCAGAATTTTCGCCTCGTCTGGTAATAACCGGCCGCGGGTTTGGCAGTACTTGAAGACCCGGTGTAGTCGGGATTGCTAAGGTTTGCGATAGTTCTAGCGGTCCGGCCTTCTGTGAGATACCGCAGGGTTTCGTGAAGAGCGGGTAGAAAAGAAAAAGCCTCTTTTAGAAAAAAGTGTCTGGTGTTGGAAGGGCAGGATTATTATATTTTTTCAACTTATGAAGAAAATACAGGAAGCTTTGCTGTTGAAGGATGAGCACAAATGTCCTTCAAGACATTAAAAAATAAAATCTCTGTGAGCAGCACTGTTTCTAGCAGCAGCCTTCTATTTACTTATTTGAGGTAATTTTAATAGGCATTGTCTAAATCGCTCAAAATCGTTTAGAAGACCTGGAATAAATGAGGGCTGACTTTTTTTTTTTCACCTCACAACATCTGCCTTTTGTTTAGATTGCAGCAAAAATTGGAGGAGATGCTGGCACATCAATGAATTCAAACGACTACGGTTATGGAGGACAAAAAAGACCTCTTGAGGATGGAGGTATGCACTCGTTACTGCTGCATTTATTTTTGTTGAGTATGGCCACGGGGCCAGAAAGATAGCAGGTGCTTTTTTTGTTTCCGGGTTGGTTTTTTTTCCATAGCACAGCATTAAAACATTTTGTTCCCTTTATAGATCATGACATGCTTTTTCATTTTCAGTTTAATGGGGAAATATGTTTTAAACCATTGTGCTCTAACCCGAAGTGAACGTAAGCCTGTTTTCAAGTATTTTAAATGTGGTTTCAATGCCATAAAAAGAAAAACGTATGCTGGGGAGGGGGGCAGATAAATTCATGGTTGAGAAACGCTTACACAGGTATGTCATTTAAGTCTTTTGTTGTTGTGTAGGACTGATTACAGTTTGTAAATTACAGTTAGAGTAGGAAGTGCTCACTCCTTAAATTTGTTTCGTATACTTTATTACTGCACAGTTTCAAATAAAAGAATGAATGCATTTCATTGTAAAAGCATAGGACTTTAAAAAAAGACAGGAAAGTAAATTTTCTACCTTGTAGACACTTTTGTTTAGTCTAATATTTTAAGTCTATAGCATGTGTGAACCCTGATAAGATCATACTTAAATCTTCTAACTTGTTGCAGCTTTTTGGATTTGCCTTATACTGCAGTAAAGTTTTCTTCTGAAATGTGTGTGTGTCGTCTTCTGTCTCTTACTAAGCAGCCAGTTTGAACTTAACAGGGTTTGATATGTTCAATATACACAAAAAATCCTGGCTAAATTGTGGAAAGAAATTTCTGAACTTGTTGAAATGTTCTCACAGGTCTCACAAAAAAGCAATGCCTTTTTTTCCTTTAAGAGGATTGAAACTCAGTCTACAGAATGTAACTAAGGCTTTATATCAGGAGTTCTTGTGTCCTGTAATAAAGTTTTTTTTTTCTATTAACGGTGAGGTTTTTAATATACAAAAATGAGCTAATGATGCTTCAGATGATATATGTAATGTATTCTTTTTATTTTATGTGTAGATGGCTCTTGGACAAGTCCGAGCAGTACAACACACTGGGAGGGAATGCCCTCTCCTTTTAAAGGCAGGAATTTTTATTTATTACCTGTGTTTAGTATGTAAACATGACATAAACTAGTGGATCTTTCTGGATTGACACAAATATTTCTTGGAATATGTGTCTGAGTTTTTGCTGCACATAAATTATGGTGGTTCATATAACCTTTATTTTGGGGTGGGAAGGAAGCATCTGAAGTCTATCTTTTCAGATACAGGTTAATTATGCCTTTTACTCCTTTACTGTACAGAAAGGATTTGGATGGTAGTCATGTAGTTGCTTTGAATCTGCTTTTTTTTTGAAGTTTTATGCTATGAAATGCTTGATATTTGGATAGGAATTTCATATCGACATTTAGATTGAGATTGCATTGCCATGTGATACTGTTGTATTTTCAGATGTTTGATCTAGATTTGTGGTCATTGTCAGAAATTTTTTTTCTTTAAATCATTGTTGATTTTTGTATGGATTTGATTTTTTTTTCTTCTTTTTTTTTACTATAGAAGCATCATTAGCTTGAGCAACCAACAGAGCTAAACTTTGTTCCTTGTCTTGGTTAAGTTTCAGTGACTGGGTATCTATGAGCAATCTACAGTGTGTTCTGAAAACTGCCTTTTGTTAAACTACTGAATAGATATATGGAAAAACCTAACATCTTTTCAGCTATACTAACCAAGTGCTGAGTGTTCGTGAGATTCTTTCTTTTATTCAGATGATCAACTCCCTGAAATTGGAGGAAAAAAAAAAGAAAGAAAAGGAAAAAAAAAGGAAAGGGGGACTAAAATACACTGGAAAGTTACAATTCACACTAAAAGGTGTAAACACTTCTTGAATTTCTTGGCAAAAAAAATTTAAAAAATCTTAATTTTGCAGATCAACCAGATGCTAAGAAAGTTGCTCCTCAGAATGACTGTAAGTAACTTTTATTTTGTTGCCAAAAAAAACTAAACAAGTGTAACATTGCCAGAACAAGAAATTGAAAGTGTTCTGGTAGGTGATGCTTGAATCAATAAGATCAAAAGAATGGCTGGGGGTTTATGTCTTATTTTCTTGAAGCAGTGTGAGTCTGCTTTATAACACTGACAGTGATGTTAGCTACAGTTCAGAATCTTTTTACCTGTTTAAACCTCTTGATAACACTTCTTGAAAAGTCAACTTGGACACAAGTTGTTACAATGAAGTTTTATTATCAAAGGAGAAGCTTAGTTGTAAGTTGTACTACTTGTTTGAATTTAATTTTAACTATTTGTTTATAGCTTTTGGAAATCAGCTACCACCGATGCATCAACAGCAAAGGTAGGAGTCACACTACATCTTTTGTAGAGTTTCCTTTTTACTGAAAGAACGCAGTTTCAAGACATTTTTCTGAAAGAGTGGTATCAATGCATAAAGCAATTACTCTGTATTTGTGTGATCTGTTGAAATTTAGGTTCAGCAAGTCCCAAACCAAACACTTAAAATGCATCTACATTGCTGTCTCTCTCTTTCTCTTCGCAGCCTAGGCTGTGCATCAGGCTTAGGAAAACGCGTTACTTGTTTTTACTACTTGAGCATAGGTAGCATAACCAGAGGTTGGAAGCAGACTTGAAGGGGGGGGGTGATGCTGTCTTGTAAACAAAAAGGAAAGCTAATGGATTTAAAAAAATAATAGCTGCTCTGTTAGTTACATTTGCTACAACTTGGTTTTCTCCACTCATATCTTCCCTAAACAACCACATCCATCTATTATTCCTATGCTTTGGCTTGTTTTGGTAGATGAGATGCTTAGATTTGTGTATTTTCAGCATACTTCAGTGGATATACAGATGAAACTTAAAATGCTACACGGGCCTTTTCTGTACCCCACATCCATTAATAGTAAAGAGGATAAAGGAAAACCCAGATCAATTCATATTATTACACTTGAACTCTTTGTAATTAGTTACTTTTTATGTTGTCATTTTACTTAGTACTGTGCTTACATAATGACTTTCAAAGTAAATGGGAAGCAAGTAAGTCAGGGTGATAGTGGGAGCACTAGCTTTCTTTAGTTTAATGGGAGGATATATATAAATTTAATGCTAGTTTGGTCTCTGAATGGTTGTTGTCTTCTGTTTGATTTAACAATCTCTAGGTCTGTGATGACAGAGGAGTACAAAGTTCCAGATGGGATGGTTGGATTTAGTAAGTAGTATGGATGTGATGATGTAGTATAGTGAGGGATGTTAGCAGATACTGTTAATACAAACAATCTTTCTATATATTCTTTCTCCAAGTAATTGGCAGAGGTGGAGAGCAGATCTCACGCATACAGCAAGAGTCTGGCTGTAAAATACAGATTGCACCAGGTAACTATTTGTGAGTTTTTTCTTTGTTTATTTTGCTGGGGGGTTTTGGTAGAAAGTTCAGAAGGCTGTGATCATTGCTTCTAATTGCCTGAACCTTCATTTAAGGTACATTTTAATGTTTTGTGATAATTGCGATTAACATAGTCCAAAGAAATGCAAAGTGTTGTGATACACTGGTTATTCTACTTCAGTGAAGTTCTAGTCATTTGCGTATTATGTTTAATTTCATAAGCTCTTTCTGACTTAACACTACTGCTAAATTGCTTTTATTTTATGACCATAGATAGTGGAGGCCTGCCCGAAAGATCATGTATGCTAACTGGAACACCAGAGTCTGTTCAGTAAGTAAAACAAATTCTGTGTGTTCATATTTAACTGTGCAATACACTTCATTTTTTAGATCTAAATATAATATCTAGATAGTATGTTTATAATTGATGTCTATGTAGTACCTGTCAGGAAAGTTAATGTTTGCCTTCCTGGGAAGGGAAGACGATGATAGCAATGAAAATGTTTTTGGGGTTTTTTTTTTGGTTGGTTGTTGGGTTTTTTTTTTACTGGCACAGAGGTTATGTAACTGCATGAAGACCAACTTATCCTGGCTTTGCTAGGAAAGATCTTAAGTGTAGTAGTATATTTGGTATTACCTCATTTGTTAGCTGCTCCCACTTTATGTTTGCAGGTAAGGCCTGCAGCTACATGTTTTCATTCAGGAAAGCAGCATGGCATTCTCCTTTTATGTTGCAGCCAAGCAGGCTGCTGTTCATGAAGTTGTTCCTTTATGGGAATTTTCTTTCTAATTATAGTTTATTCTGCTCACATATTAGAGGGAAGAGTTTTTAACTGATGTTACTACTGTAGTCATGATTTTACTCTGATGGTAACTGACTTACGTATGTGGTGAATAGATACTTGCTTTTGTCCACCATTCTGGTAATGGTTACAAGTACGAATGTCCTTACTTTGCATGCTGAATCAAGCAGCAGCTGTCATGGTACTTGGTATTAAAGCTAGGATTATTTTACAGTTTGGGGGTTTTTGCCTTTTATAAAACTTAACATAAAATAGATCTGCCTTAAGATTGGCTGTTAGTAGATTAAAGAAGAATTATTGTCAAATGAGAGGTTACCCAAATTACTACTGAAATTAAGCAAAGCTAAAAAAGCTTTCTGTCTGGTGATTTTTTTTTTTTAATGCACTAAAAAAGGTAAACTGTAACAATTTCAAATCTTCTAATTAACACAGATTATTTTTTTTTTTTATATTTTAATGGACAAGGTTTCCATCTTCTGTTTTGAGTTAAGGGTTGATCAATGTAACTATACTCGGATGATGGTCATGTTTGAGGAGGTGACTCAGTTTCTTGTGTTTGGTCAGGAACCACCTTTTGTATTCTGACATTGGGGTGGTTTTAGGTCTACCACATTATCTTGTAATTAGTTTCTTAAGTTACTGTTACAGATTTACTGAGTTTGCCTAGTATTTCTTAGTGATGGTAATTATATTTCATCTGCAGAAACTTTTCAAATAAAAAAAAAAAATCCAAGCAGAATAGGTATGGGCAAGTGATACTTGTAGGAATAAGTGTATTTATGAATGTATATATTCCTTCACAGATCAGCAAAAAGATTACTTGATCAGATAGTTGAAAAGGGAAGACCTGCACCTGGCTTTCATCATGGTGATGGACCTGGAAATGCAGTCCAAGAAATTATGATTCCAGCAAGTAAAGCAGGATTAGTTATTGGAAAAGGTGGAGAGACAATTAAACAATTACAGGTATATATGTATCTTCTTTTAAACATGATGATATTGAATCTGGATTTGAGTGGGTATTGACCTCGCTTTTGTCATATAGGAGCGGGCAGGTGTCAAAATGGTCATGATTCAAGATGGTCCACAGAACACTGGTGCAGACAAGCCCCTTAGGATAACTGGAGACCCTTATAAAGTTCAAGTAAGGAGTCCTTCAGAATTCAGTGCATTTTTAAATACATTCTGATGTTGCAGTACCTAAATGAACTTTCATTCTTCTTTCAGCAAGCCAAGGAAATGGTGCTGGAGTTAATTCGTGATCAAGGTGGCTTTAGAGAGGTGCGCAACGAATATGGGTCAAGAATAGGAGGAAATGAAGGGATAGACGTAAGCATGGTTGAAAAACTTGTTCACTGTATTTTGAGATGTTAACATTAAAATGTTAAGCTGGGTGATACCACTGAAAGCTCTTAACTAAATTCCAGAAGTGGTTGTGGCACGTAAGTATTACTTGATCATTGCTGAAATTATGACTTTAAATGGTGTGCAGCATTCACTTTACATTACCAGCAGTTCTGAACAGTTTCAGCTAGCTGCAGTTTTTTAGCAAATAAGCAAATAAGCTTGATGGCTAAGTATGTGAAGTCATTATAGAAATTGGATTTGGCCGTTACAGAAGGAAATTTAAGTCCACCTATTATGGAAGTCATGAGCTTGTAACTTTATCAGAGGTGAGGCTGAAAGTTTCATGTGCTAGAATCTGCATTTTAGGCCCATTAGAACTTTTGTTTCTTGATTGTGAGATGCATAATATCCCCTGGAATTGCTGCCAATATGAGAACTTGTACTGCATAGGATCTTTGGTTTTGATACTTTCATCCAGTATTTGCTAAGCTTGTGGCTTGATACTAAAAAATTCACACTTGAGAAAGCCTGAAGTGGTATAGGGCTGGCCCTAGTTTACCATTCTAATATGTGATCCTTTAATTGTGTGAATTTGGTAGGAATATCTGCATCACAGACATCTTGAATTTTTTTTTTCTCTTTAAGGTTCCAATACCACGATTTGCTGTAGGTATTGTAATTGGAAGAAATGGAGAGATGATAAAAAAGATACAGAATGATGCTGGTGTTAGGATCCAGTTTAAGCCAGGTTGGTAGTATGTCCATAAGCTTCCGTGAATTGAGTGTAAATTTACTGGATTACATATACTGGAATAGTTCATTTTTATTCCAGATGATGGAACAACTCCAGATAGAATAGCCCAAATCACAGGGCCTCCTGACAGATGTCAGCATGCTGCAGAAATTATTACAGATCTCCTTCGAAGTGTTCAGGTTGGGTACTATGTTGTTTACCATTTAAAATCTCCTGCCAGACTTTTGCAAAGACTTAAAATTTTAAAAAAGAGTGTGTAACTAAAGAAAATAATTTAATGGTGCCATTTGAATCTACTTCAAAGTTCAGTCTGGAATATGAATGTTTGCTTCTACAGTTACAGTTTTGCAAGTGTCAGGATGATAATGATAATACTGATTCAAAGTCATGGTAGTTCTTGATCTGGCTGGTTTTAGAGCTGCTTCTTCTGTTGTTTTGTATTAATAGCTGATACGCTGTTACTTTTGATTGTAATCGGTGTTTAAAAGATGGTTTAAATGCTTATTGTGAGATGAGCTCCACTGCTGCATTTACAGAAGGCAGACAGAAATTAGATACTTGTTCATGTGAAACTTTCTGCTTTCTTCTATATCCTTTCCTACTTCATCTTTCATATGCAGAGCTGTACAGAACATCTTTTAAAATGTAGTTTAGGTCTTCTGTAAAAGATACTGTTTTAACTATCAAAACTACCTGAGTAGTAAATCAGGTTTTTTTCTTAACAAATGATGTGATTTAGCCAGTTGGCATTAATGATTGGTTTGCGGTAATTTTTATAAAGCATGCTAATTTGTTGCGTTTTCTTTTTAGGCTGGTAACCCTGGTGGACCAGGACCTGGTGGTCGAGGAAGGGGTAGAGGCCAAGGCAACTGGAACATGGGGCCTCCTGGTGGATTACAGGAATTCAATTTTATTGTTCCCACTGGCAAAACTGGATTAATCATTGGCAAAGGCAATTTATCTTACATATATGTGTATCTGTATGTGGTTAAAAAAACTCTCAGCTTTCCTGTCTGTATAAATAGCCATACTAGAGAGAAGTTTCAAGAGAAGCCTTTGCAAATAGTTTAATGTATGGTAGAGCAACTTAATACTGCTAAATCATAGCACTCCTAATATTCTTTTCATATTTTCCTCACCAAAACACATACTTCAGTAGTTAAAAGTCAAGAACCAATCAATTTATCTAACCTTTTTTTTTTTAAGGTAGTAAGTACTGAGTTACACTGGTAGTGTTTGGTAGATTCTTAAATTATGTATCTTATAATTAACTTGCATTTGATACTGCTTGATGAGCCTAGTGTAACTGCGTCTGTAACTCCTAAAACTAGTTTTCACATATTCCAATGAAGATCTTTTACAGTGGAATCCTGGAGTTTCTTGGTGTACATTTATTAAAATAATTACTTCTCAAAGAATTTTGTTTTAAAAATAATTTACTGTATGCTTCTAAATGAAACACTTGAGTTATCTTAATCTTTTATTTGCAATATGTTTTCCAGACACAAGAAATAGGCTGACGTAGTTCAGTTCTTGAGCTGGAAGATTGATTGATTTTTTTTTTTTATTTTTTTTTTTAAATGCCTGATGGCCCCTGTTTTGACAACTTTGTGCCTACTAATGATAAATGTAACTTCTCAGTATCCTAAAGAGGAGGAATTAGTTTAGGGAATTTAACTTCCTGGTTTTAGTGCACTGCAAAAAATGTGGACTTTACGATGTGGTCAGCTTTTGGGGGTTTTTTGTCATCTGTGCATGCCTACTGCTTTATAGGGAGTTCAGGCTTTAAGGTTGTATTTACTGATAACCATTGGTATTGGTTGTTACTTATGTCTAATCTTACATCTTTACGTGAATGGAAAAATCAGACAATGTAGGAATTCTTTGCTGTTCTGAGTAACAATATTGTGGTCTTTTGCAATCAAAGCTCTATAGTACACAGAAGAGGCTTTTTTTTAATTGTTGTTAGAATGTACTTGTATGGCTCAGAAGAATAGGTGTCTTTTTCTCTTCTCTATCTTCAGCTTCCATGCAGTAGACTTCCTCTGATGTGAATCTTAGTATTTTCACTTTAATGCATGTCATAAAAGCTGTATGTTGCATTGTAGGTGGTGAAACTATTAAAAGCATAAGCCAGCAGTCTGGTGCTAGAATAGAACTTCAAAGAAATCCTCCACCTAATGCGGATCCAAACATGAAGATGTTTACTATCCGTGGAACACCCCAGCAAATAGATTATGCACGACAACTTATAGAGGAAAAGATTGGCGTGAGTGTATAGCTATGTTTTGGTTTACTATTATAACTAAACAGAATAGGAAGCAAGTCTCCTTTGTGGAGACTTCCCTTCCATTTCACTTCCAAATTCCTTAATCAGATAATAAATCAATAATAATGGTAATCTGGGTTTAAAGTAATATAAATGTAACTTGATGCACCAAAAGTAGCAAAAACTTGAAATGGAAGAAACAGTTACTTTCTTCAATATAATATAGTGTATTTTAATGATGTGTTCCCAAAGATGCGCACTTTGTGCCTAATGAAAAATTCAACGACTTCAAAGATATCCTTGATACTCTTAAGCTACTAAACAGTCAGTCTCAGTATGTTTAGGTAGAGTTTTAATCCAAGTTTACGCTCTTTAATTTCACTGCACTTCTGTTCGCGTGTGTATGCATGTAATCAAATTTGCTACCTGTTTTTTGTACCTGATCTTGCAAATATTTAATTAGCAAGATTAGCCAGATTTAGATATATCAGTTTATTTTAAAACACTGATAGTCTCGTTTAAGTTTGCGGGGGTGTTTTAATGCAACTTGCAGAAAAATCCGTGTTTATTTGTAAAATTCTTTTATTCCCTCAAGAAAGAACCAAAATAAATGCTTCTTTTTGGTTCCTATTACTGCCATGGCTGCTTTTAACTCTCTTCTTCAACTAGCCATAAGCCTAATTAATCTTCAAAAAGACTGTTTTCTCCAGGGAAATGTCTCTATTTAAAACCAATCAAACCTTTTAGATTATATTCTTAAAGTGTTCAGATTTATCTTCTAAACTGCTGAAAAATGGAGAACTTCAAGGTTTATTTCATCTGTGTGTTACTCTTATTACAGGGTCCAGTAAATCCATTGGGTCCACCTGTTCCCCATGGACCCCATGGTGTTGTTCCTGGCCCACATGGACCTCCTGGGCCACCCGGTCCTGGTGCTCCCATGGGACCGTATAACCCAGCTCCTTATAATCCAGGGCCTCCTGGCCCTGCACCTCAGTAAGTACTGCTTCAGCTAGCTTCGTTTTTTGTAGGGTGATGCTGGGACTGGCTTTCACTGTATGTGTGTGACTTCATCTTTTATAGTGGTCCTCCAGCTCCATATGCTCCACAAGGATGGGGAAATGCTTATCCGCACTGGCAGCCACCAAATCCGCCAGATCCAGGTAAGAAATGTCACAGCTCTACTGTAGTGTGAGTATACTTGGAGTGCATCTATTTTGTCCTTACAAGTATGTACATTTCATAATTTATTTGTGTTACACTGGTATATCTGAAAAAGCTCCTATTCTTCAGGCCTTTCTTTACTGATTGTCCATTTACGTATGTTTTACACTTCCTACATGTTGCTTGTGAGATGTTGAAATGCAGTTGTTACAGTTGGAATATGCTTCTTTACTAAACATTATTGACATTGCATCCCAATTTATGATACTTTTTGCAAGACTTCGTTAACTGATTTTGTGCAAATCAGTTCATTTTTCTTACAATGGATGTTTTTACATGGAATTCTTTACTGAGGATGTGTTTTCTTTTGTTAATAGTCAATGACTTTTATTTTAAACAATGCTCTTTACAATCTCACTGATCCTGACTTTGCACAGTTTATGCTAAATTATATATTTCTAGCTTTTGTTGAACTATATGAAGATATGCCTTCTCAGAGTCTGATACAAATGTATTTTGCTCAGTCCTTTTTTGAGGGATAAAACTTCTGTTGAACTGCTGTTGATACACAATCCTAACTGGTTTTACTGTATTTTGAGCTTTTGCTTATAATAGTTTTGTATTTGCTTCTGAAACACATCTTTGTAGAATCTGTTTCTTCTGTTTATCTCTGTCAAGACCGGGAATTTTTACTTAATTACAACTTCCCAAAGTTTTAGTATCCTGCTTTTCTTTAAGTTACATCCTTTGGTTGGACTAGAGCATATGGGGAAACGGAACTGCAGTCACAGAGGCATGGTAAGGCTAGATGCTTGAGTCACTTGTACCTCATTTGTTTGAGGTAGAGCTTCTTCAGAACTTCAGCCAAAAGATCTCAATTTTATTTTTGTTATAAATGGAATAAATATTTTCTGATAGCCACTGGTCCTGCCACAAGTTCCGTTAGTGAAAAAGGGGAGGGCTTTGGAGGATATTACAATTTACAGAGAGTTCTGTTCGTGTTCAAGTCTTTTATATATCCTTTCTTGGCAAAGAACCATCTCTCGTTTCAGTTCCCAGACTTTTATAAAAAGTAGCTCTGCATGCATTCAGTTTAGATTTAAAAATGCATATTGTCATTATTTAAAAGTAGAGCGATTGAAAGTGACTTGACTTGAAGTCTCAACATACCAAAAGTGTCATTTAATCCAAAACCACTGCCAAAAGTTACAGCCTTTTTCATACCGCCTTTTCTTTTTTTATAAAGTAATTTATCTACATAAAGATTGGTAAGAAAAATGACAAATACTCACCTTGATGTCATCTTGATGATGATTTTATAACCATTTTTTGGATAAATACTCCTTAAAAGTCTAATTAAGCTTTCCTATGTGTGGTTGAAGTTGCTGTTTCTTTTGACTAGCGTTTATTTGGATGAGGTTTGTACAGTTTTCCACTTAGTTGCTCATTTCATTGTAACAAATGGGTTATTTTAGTATTTTTTTCAGAGGTGCTTTCTCCAGAACCATGCTTACCTCTTGTCACGTGAAAGTGGAGCTAGTTACTACACTCAGATTTCTTTGGAAATTTAATGAATACCACTCTGTGTTCTTCTGTTCTAGAGAAATAGCTACTAAGGGGAATGAGGGGGGGGACCGAGCAATGGCTTATTTGATATTGCAGGTAACCTTAGAATATAGTACATGTTAGTTTAAATCCACTATTGTTGATGGAAGCAGTGTAATTTAAAAAGGAAACAGTGTGTTAACATTGTTTTCTGTATGCTGATACTACTGTGTGCATTTTAAGTGGTTACATCTGACTTTAACGCTAAATGAAATACTGCAAGAAATCTGTTGTGTTGTGGATTTCTTCTCCCTGAATCGCTTTTTCAGAGGATTTCTTCTTTCTCTTCCATTAGTCACTGCTTTACCTATTTTCTCTTTGCGGGATGGTGGGGGGGAAATGTACTTCCATTCCCATGTATAGTTATTCTAAAGGATCGGTTGTGTCTATGTCCTTACGTGAAGTTCTCGTCTCAGTTGGCCGCATTTATTTGCAGGTACTTTTATTCTTTAAGGAAGCAAGTTATGTTAAAGGATGCTGGTTGTGTTACAGAACATTATGTTCTCTAATAGTAGATTTGCAGTTTTTGTGGATTGCCAATCTGGTAATGTAATAAATCTCTGTGATTCAGCAAGAATAAGCCATACCTACAGGCTATATGTGAAAAACAGAGAAGTAAGGTTCTAGGAAGCAGCACTGTTGGCCTACTTAAATGTAGTTAAAAATAAGGGAAGCATGGAGATAGCTGTAGAAAATGCAGATGTTGCTATTATATGTTATACTAAAAAGAGCTGTAAGTAGACAGTGGTGATTTATAGCCATGTATGGGGATTTAGGTTCTTAAAATACTGTGTTTCTGTATCTTACTGTTACCTTAAAGTTTAACTGACAAGCATTGCAAATACCTAGTAAGATTTGTATTCTTCTGTTTCAGAAATATGTATTTGGCATTCCTCCTCTGCCTGTGCCAGTGTCATTAGTGTGAGGTTATAAGAGAAATAAAACCACTGAAATTGTTTGGTGCTAGAATGATTCATTGTTGCTACCATTTAGTAACATGACTGTTTAAATAAACTTGGAAATCTGTTTCTGTTTATCATATTTAAAAATTTTAAAATGACATTGTAGTAGTAAGGGTTCTAGAATGATTTTTCTCTCATCAGTCCTATGAAAGTATACTGTGTGCAATACACTTGTCTGAAACCTGGTTGGAAGTTGAAAGAAAAGATAATTACACAATGTACATGGTTATTTGGTTTAGACAGATTTTTCCTGAGTGCTTAGGACAGAGTTGATTGGGGACAGCATTCTGTTCATACTACTTTTATAAATGTTTATGTTTTGTTTTCATAGGTAAGCCAGGAACAGATCCCAATTCAGCAGCGTGGGCAGCTTATTATGCTCACTACTATCAGCAGCAAGCACAGCCACCACCTGCAGCCCCTCCTGGTGGACCAGCTACAACCCAAACTAATGGACAAGGTAGCTGTTTAGTAAAACTGATAAATTTCTTATTGCTGGGGGTGTCGATGCCCAATTATTTTTTTATTGTTGTCTTCATATATTTGGTTATTTTATTGTAGGGTAGCTGGTTTTCTTGGAAAACTCTTGCTTACAGCATTCAACATTTGCTTTTCTTAATTTCAGCAGTAGTAAGGGTAACATATTTATCTTGTAATATACTCCAAAGAGAATTGTGCTGCAATTTGGGCAGACTGAATTATGTCTACATAGTGCAGTCAGCCTTAAGTAAAAAGGGAATGAGCCAAACTGTTGATTGTCGTTTGCTTAAACAGTTGCATCACTTCCAGTGGTTTTAGGACAACTACAGTTGCAGTATTTAGTTGTATTAGTATAATTGTTGTGCCTGGATGAGGCTTACTGCTTAAATTTTGGGTAGTGTTTTGTACTCCAAGTAGTGTGTAACTCCTGAATCTTGAAAACATGCTGAATACTTTAAACAATTCTTTCTTTGTGGTGTCTTTTACTAATTTTTTAGTTTATATTTGTAGTAGCATGTACCACATAGGTTTATAGTGTCAGATTTCAGTGATGTTATTTGGGATTGTTACTGAAAAATTTAGCTGATTATTTGTAAATTGTTCTGTGTATGAAACAAAACCCAGTAGTTTTATTTTGCCTATTTTTAATGTGATGCAGGAGATCAGCCAAATCCAGCACCAGCAGGGCAGGTTGACTATACCAAGGCCTGGGAAGAGTACTACAAAAAAATGGGTATGTGTGCATGTTTTCTTCTGTTGTTGCATATTAGAATTGTTTTCAGAGACTTGCGTATCTCTTTTGATGAGATGGGGTTTACCCAAAAATAACAGTGCACACTCCATGTGTCTCCTGAACCATGTACTGCTAGAGGCCCTGAACCTTGCAGAAAAACAAACTTAAAAATTTGTGTTGTGTTAACTAGTATGAGTACAAGTAAATGCTTTGATTAGCTTTGTGAAAATACTTCATACCTAATGAGATGTCTGTATTTGATCATTGGGAAACAACATATTTTAAATATTTCAATTGAGAATTTTTTTAAGTATCTTTTTAAAGTATATTTCATACGTTTCTGAGTTCAACTTTGATCTACTTTATGAAGCTGTTATTTCTCTTGTTTGGTAGTTGTTTCCTAATGCTCTTAAGATTACAGATTTTTCTTTCTTGTAACTTGCTTTCTGTTTTCCAAGTTATTAAGCCATCATGACTAGCTTTCATGTATATTACGCCCTTTTTTAAATAGTATTTGCTTTGCAACACTTCAGAGCTATGTTTAAACTGCAGGTTATATGTTGTTGCTAGCTTTTAAAAAATATTTTGATTGAGCTGACTTTTGAAACTGAAATGTATTTGCTTGTTAAGTTGATGATTTCATCACTTACTGAATAAGGAAAAAATATATTGTCTTGATGCGTTGGCAGAAGGTGCTGTTATCTCTTAAACTGTGGCAATGTCTTGCAGCTCTATTTTGTCCACAGTGTCCTCCCATGGATATTGCAATTGATGTAGATTTGTATACTGAGGACTAGCAGGCTTATGAATGCCAGTGTTTTCCCTGGTATCTCTGTTTGACCAGACATATAGCAGCATCTAGTTTGTATTGTTTGTTTGTTTGGGTGGGAGGGTTTTGTTTTTTCCCTCCTACAACTGCACCCCATTTTCTCATGGAATATCAAAAAGCATTTGGAGTTAAGATTAATAGGATGCTTAATTCCTCTTACAAACAACCTTCTACCAGGTTGATCTCAAATAATTTGCCAAGACATAACTACCTTTATTCTTCTTTATGTTGGCACAGCATAAGTGATGAAATGAAACAGAAAATGTATAATGATTATTTACTTCAAGAATTGAATATCAGACTAAGAAAATTGCAACAGAACTCCCAAACGTGATTTTTAAGATGTGATGGGCCTTTCATTTTTCCTCTTCTTTTCATTTAACTACTTTTTTTTTTTTTCAAATTACTGTCTCTGTTAGTTCACCTCACATTTTTCGATGCAAAGTTGTGGGGTTTTTTCCCACTGCCTTTTTAAGAATAATGTAATTTGTTGGCAGGGGTTCTGCCATCTTTCTAATTTGCTGTCTCTGGAAAGCAAAGTCTGGGTTGCACTAGTCTTACATTTGTTCTAATTAAATAATGGCTAGTTATAAGGTGTTGGGATAGAGTTTCTGGAAGTCCAAAGAGGAGTGTGAACCCAAAAAAGATAGACATTGGGACATGTAAAGAATTGCTCTTAAAATGCAAAATTAAAAAATCCTAAGACAACAATCAAATAAGAGGAAAAACAGAAGGGCAGTTCTGATCTTCATTTCTTTTTCTACTTCAAATTGAGTTCTTTGCCTGAAGGAGAACTCTTGACATCTGGACCTGTATAACTTGACTGTGTAAATCGTGAGAACTTTTTTGCTTCTTCAGCATGTTGAAAATCTTGATATGGAAGATACCATTTCTCTTGAGGTCCACTTAGAGAAGAGGAAGAACTGACCAAGTGAGATTAAAGGGCAGAGAATTCACCTAGAGTTGATTCAGTGCTAAATGGAGGTGTTTTTCCCTACCTCCTTAACAGCAATGTTAAGAAGTAGTACAAGATCTGATGAACAGGAAGGCTGTCCATCAGCAGGTTCGTGTGGTCTCCTGGCTCTCAAACACAGCTACTACTGTTTGTGCTTCCTGCAGTACTGTAATGCTTCTGTCCCCATTAACTTGTGCAAAAGGGGGAAGGTAGTAATTACAGGTCACTCACTCTTCAACCCTTCTTTCAGATTTTTCACAGCACAGATAATTACACAAACACCTGTTTTGGAGAACTGAACTGAACTTGGGACATGCTGAGCCCAAGCAGTTCTGGTTTTGCTGATGAAAACTACTTTGATAATCCATGTGGCAACCTTATGGGGGTGACAGTACTGCGCTGAACAAGTTGCATGTGATACTGCAATTGGTGCTCTGGATTTCCTCATCTAAAGCACTCCTGAATATTTCCGTCAAAACCACTGTTTTCCAAAGTGGCATCCTACTGGTGCGATATGACTCGGCTAATCACAGAGAACGCTTTCCTATTTTTTTCAGTGTATAGAACGGTGACTTGAAAATAACCTGTTTTCCAGCTCACAAATACAGTGGCAAAGTCCATCTCCTTTTTCGGACTCTTGTTTTGCTCAGGGAATAATTGCCTTGAGTAGCAAATACAATTAAAAATAGGACTGAAAAGCTAGGAAAAATACACATGCGCACTGGTAAGTTACTGTATGTGGACCTTATAGGTGACCCAGACCATCTATTTGCTGGGTAACCTACTTCATAAATTCAGAAAATGTGTTTTGAATTTCCCTTTAGTATTACCAAGTAACAAGACATTAGTTCAGCTTTTGAAGACATAATATTTTTATTTTTCCCTGCAAGAGCTGAAATAAAGATTTGCATAACTAGGCCCTAAAAATCTCCCAGCGATAACAGTTCCCTCTAAACATGAAGTCATGTTTTAGTAAATGACCTGTATGTCACCATAGGAGTTTGTAAATTTATCATTTAAAGTCATTCTAATATCTTGTGGCCTTGACTTATAGTTGAGGGATTCCATAGTAAAGAGTTGGAACTGTTCCGTAATGATTCCTGAGCATAGTAGCAGGAAAAAGGACAAAGAACAGTTTTCTCTTACTAGAATCACACTTGGTGATTTGAGTAGTGAAAGAACTGTAGAATCATCTGGCATTTTCTTTCTTAGCCTTCCTTAATGGGGAGGTATTCTGCGTTTCTTGTATTTCCTTTGTATGTAGTTTATCAATATTTTTTGTTAGTTTTCCGGTTGATTCTGGATATTAATGAGCATGTACTGTTTCAGCGCAGTTCTGTACACCCAAAGGAAGTTTTGACTAAACTGCTGAGTTCCATGTGTAGGTTCAGAATTACTTGCAGTACTTAGTAGGGGAATGATGCAGCTAAAATACTTCGAATTTTTACTAACCTATTTCAGGACAGAAGCCCAGTTTGACATCTTTTAGTAGATGTTAAACTTCCTATATTTGATTTATTATTTGAATTTCAACACTGCCTTGGGATAGCTGGCTGAATGTCAGAAGATTCTTGGGTCATAATGCACAAAAAATGCCTTAGCTTTGATATTCAGCTGTGCTGACAGCTATGACATAGCTAAATAATTTGTAAGTAGAATTGATATCTCATAAATTAATAGTGAACTTGCAAAAAATGTATCCTGGGATAATTTGTAACCATATTAAAGATCATTTTGCTTAAAATAATTGATCAGAAGTGTAAATTGTAAGTTTTGGTAAATTATAAATTGTAAGATGTGATTTCAGCTCCTAAGAAATGAAGAAATTTAAGTAAGATTTTCTAGGAAAACAATTGCTTTACTGTATAACCCAAAAAGTGATGAAAAGGGTTTTTTTAATGTATCTGCAGTGTAAGTGGAAAAACTATGTAAGTTGTATAGAGGGTTGGAAAATGGAAGGTTGTATTTTGAAGACGTTCAGAATAGTGCTTTGCCAAATGTTCAGATTCTCTGCTCACGCTTAATGTTTTTGAGAGGATTTGGGGAATACACATATATGTAAGAGAAGTGTGGATAGCTAGTATTCTTCATGTGAATTTTCTGTGTAAAAGTATTTTAAAAAAACAAACAAACAAACCCAACTTTCTATCTGATACCCTAGAAAACAGTTCAGTAGAATCTTTGATACTCATGTTCCCCAGAAGGTTGCTCGGTGGTCTTGTATCCAAATAAAAGGTGAGGTGGTTTCAGGTAGGATTGAAAACTTTCAGCCCTTGTCTTGTAGAAGCTGCCCCTTTTCTTGATAGCCGAACAGAAGATTCGTTGTACATGGAATTGTATAGGGTGCAGGCTTGCAGTTTGCTTGGATTTATTTAATGTAGTGTGATTGAATGTGGTGGTTTGGGTTTGGTTGGGTTTTTGTTGTGGGTTTTTTTGTTTTTAATCCTAGAAAAAACTGGGGGAAATGGTGGTGACTGTAAAACTTTGATTTGAAAAAATAACCCTTTAAGAATGTAGATCACAAAAATGTTGTGTTTTGGAAATTAAAGAAACTTAAAATGAAGCACTCCATACAAAACCCTTCTGTCTGGATGCATGCAAGAGTGAGGACAAATGATTGGATAGAGGATAGTGAGTGTTCTGGTTATGGTCAAGTATGCTCTGCAGTGGTAACTGCAAAAGCACCTTTCAGATAAAAATTGTGAAGGCGATAGTGGTAATGACTGTGTTTGATGTTTCTGAAATAAGAGGAAAAGGATGTAAAGATGTCTGCAGCAAACCTTCCTTGTAAGAAGAGCATTACTTAGGTCCTAAAAAGTTGGCTGTAACTTTTTATTTTTGATACACTAAAGAGTCCTTGTGTGTTAGTCTACTACCTTTACAGAATTTTTAAGCTACAAGTTGATTTTGTTGGAAGTATCAGTAGTTCTCAGCTGTAAGTCTGGGAGAGTGTGCGTGTGTGTACACTTATGTGTGTACATGCTGTTATTTCTAGAGTATCAGACCTTAAGCAAAGGTTTAAAGGAGAAGTTTCAGGGCTATATTCTGTGGTGGAGTAAATGTTTACAAAAATTAATGCTCTTCTTGAGAAATTTAATCTACAGTAACCTAGCAGTTGCATTAGGGAGGCCAAAATTGGGGGAGTGAATGAATTGGCATCTGGTGAACTAATTAACGCAGTCTGTACAATAAGATAATGTCCATCTGGGTGGATTACAAAAGATATAATCTTGCCTGTTGACCTGTATTTTAATTTAAATGCTACTGGTTGTTCAGGTCAGTTTAGGTCAGCAGGCTTTAAAGACTTTTGCTCTGAAATGTGATCCAGGAGGTAGAAAAAACTCTCCTTACGGTTCCTCAGTTTTGCTTTACATGGGAATCATTACATTAAAATAATAGGATGAGTAGTTAGGTAAAAAAAAAAGAAGCCACAAGATTATTCAAAAGCCTTGCAGGAATATTGCAAGAAGCTAGGTGATACTTGTTAGGCAGTGAGATTTTGAAATCTTCTCATTTCTGTTGCAGCAACAAAGCTATATAATTTTAATTACTTGTAGGTCAAGCAGTTCCTGCCCCTGCTGGGGCTCCGCCAGGTGGTCAGCCAGATTACAGTGCAGCATGGGCTGAGTACTACAGGCAACAGGCAGCATATTACGCCCAGACAAGTCCACAGGGAATGCCACAACATCCTCCAGCACCACAGGTATAAAGTTTAAGTGTTTTTTAACTGGCTACTGTTTCAGTGGTTGTAGATATTTTTTGCATGTCTCCTGCTTTGTTACCTTTGGAGTATGCATCTTTTTTTCTAGCGAAATAACTATCAGAATAATTAATAGATTACTTTGTTTACCTGATAACTTGAGCTCTGTATCTATCCATATGTTTGGTGATTATGTTTTTTTTTAAAAAAAGAAAAACTTTCTCCTCCCAGGGTTTTGAAAACCATGCAAGAAGCCACCACCATTTACATTAACCAATTTTTCTTTCTTAAAGGCTTCACTCCTGAGTTAGCTCGATTTAAAGGATTTTCTTTAACTTTTTGTGTATCTCTTATGTATCTCTTCTGCACAGGGCCAATAATAAGAAGTGGACAATACAGTATTTGCTTCATTGTGTGGGGGAAAAAACCTTTGTTAAATGTATGGATGCAGACGCCTTGATGAAGATCTTAATTTTGTTTGGTTAAAAAATAGTGTTTTTGAAAATGTACAAAATATCTATCACTACTGATAGGAGGTAATATTTCTGTGTAGAAATGAAAAATGGTTTGTTTTTAGTATTAGTGTAGATGTACACATTCCAGCAAATGTATTTGCAATTATGTGGTCAATGCTTTGTGATATAAATGTACTTTTTCAATGTATACTTTATCACTTTTAAAATGCCTGTTTTGTGCTTTACAATAAATAATATGAAACCTCCTGTGTCGGTAAGTTGGATATGTGGGTATATAAAGAATTATAGGATTGATTTGCAACGATGAATGAAGGTACCTGTACACAAATGAGCTATTTTTTTCCCCCCCATGAAACCTTGTTGAGTTTAAAAACTTGTTGTTAGCATGTTTTTCCCCTCTTGCAGAATAGTTGTAGATGGAGGATCTCTTTCATTCATTGTATTTTGCTGCCTAGCATCAGTAATCTTGATACCTTAATTTTCTTTCTATTTGATTAAAACTGCATGTGTTTAAGAAGGTGATCTTTTGGCATACTTCCATTGCATTAACAGTGAAATTTCCTTTTATACATGACCACTGTTTCAGACCTGTGCAGCTGCTATAACAGATAACTTTTGTTCTTAATTGAATACTTCAAAACTGTTCCTGCATAACTATTTTACAGATTTTTTCAGACTAGTTAAAAAAACTTACTTTAAGTGTAATGCTTAAGCCTTCAGTTTAAAGTAGTCCACTTCAAAATTCAGTGTAGAAAAGTCAATGTGGTATGCATAGTAGTTACAAAAAATTGCATCTGTCCTTAAAACGCTGTTTTGTTTGAGTGGTGGGGAGTGGTTGAGAACTTCCTGCAGAGCAGATAACTTCTGTTTTTGTAAATACTCAAGTATTTGAATCAATTGATTATTTTTTTATATATACTTGAAACTTCTTATTGCTCTAATGCTCATACTAAAAATCTGATTATCTTGAAATCCTATGTTTGCTCTTTGCATATTTATTGGCTCTTTGCATATATTAGACTACATGCAATACAGTCTGTCTTGCCATTGTCTGTTGAAGTGCAGGTTTGATCCAGCCAGTATAGAACTAGCTCTATAGGGGTGAGGAGGACTGTGCTGTGTATCATCCTTGATTGTTCCTTCAAGGAGCATTGCACTGTAAGTACATCAGAATGACAAATTGATGAACTGCAACAGTATCTTTTTGTCAATGTTCCACATAATGAAAATGCCATACTTGTGTGACTATTATGTTGGAATACAGTGCTGGTATCTTAGGAAATCATAATTGCTTCTTAATTCAGAAACATAGGTTTGCGTATATATATATACATACACATAATATGAGCTTTGTGGGTAAGTATTCCTGAAACGTTTAGCAATAGCTAAAGAAAATCATGTTTCTGTTTATCTAAGTAATAGTTGTTGGTTTTTTTTTTTTCATTAGTACTCCTGAGACAGCTGTATTATTCAGTGTTTTAAAGTATGCATATCGTAATATTGAAGTCTTTGGAACCACTTGTTAGACAGAAGTTGTATTTGTCTTCAGATAGTTTGCAGATATGTAGTGATGTAGGTATGTTTTAAATAATTCTATGACTGTTACTTGCTTTATCTTTTGGAACACCATATTGTTGCTTTGAGAATAAATTTTTTTAGGGTGGCTGCACAGAGAATTAGAAGTTAAGGCTTGAAAATTGAAGTAGTTTATTCAGGTAATTAGCAATGTATGTATTGTGCTGTAGAAATAGAAGGAATTATTTTTATCCCTTCTAAAATTAGGAATTATTTTGGTAGCTTAAAAAAGGCTAGGACGGTATTTGCTATCTTTAGTGTAGGGTATGAAGTTTAATAGTTCAGATATTTTGCATGGTATTTTATAGATAACCTTATAGAATGGTGCATTTACTATGTACTAAACTGAGCAAAATTAAATTCACTGGATTCTTTATCATTCACAAAATGGAGGCTGTTGATTTTGATTCATTTAAGGTATAAAATCTTTATTAATTGCAAACAGTGCAATTATTTATACTTCACAGTGCCTTCCCTGACCTTCCACCTTAGGTTCTGCTGCAAAAAAGCAACAGGTAAGCACAACCTAAGGAAGTATATAAACTAATATATTTCAGTACATTAATGTTGTCCCTGTGAGATCTTTGTGGTTGTGTATTGAAAAGCAATCTGCTGCTTCCCCAAATGCATTGTTACTCACGGTTCCATTTCAGTGGAAAGTCTTTTAAGTTTTTAAACAACTGTTTATATTTCTAGGTAAATATGTTTTTTTTATTTTTTTATTTTTTTATTTTTTATTATTTTTTAGAAAAGATGAGTAGATTGCAGTAATTAAACTTGATCAGAATACGTAATTTTTGTTATTTTTCCTCAAATAGCTAATTGTTGCAAATAAAGAATCAAAACCTTTAAAATATGCAGGAATTACTTTGGTTAGAAACGTCAACAGCCTTCACAAATGTTTTTTATAATAGGGCACTATTCCCACTCAAACCCGTAAGACTTAAATATAAAGAATATGACTTCTTGTTGTTATCACTGAACTTGATAACTTGTCTTACAGTTATAGTGTGTTAGTGGAATTTTTAGATAACTTAGTTTGCTTATTCATACTTGACATGTTAGGAAAACAGATTCTGGAGTTTCAGAGATTAGTATGTTTTAACTGAAAAAGCATGTGCACCAATTAAATGTTAACAGTACAGCGAATAATATTTTTTCTATATAGCAGTCAGCGTATCCTGTTTCTTGATACTTTAACTGAATTGCTGTATATTTTGATAGTTTAAAATGTTTGTATGTCTTATAGATGGTCTGGTACAGGTTTTTGTTTCTGGTTTTTGTTGTGTTTTGTTTTTTGTTTTTGGTTTTGGTTTTTTTTTTTTTAGCTTAAAGCAGCATCTACTTGGTTTTTTGTTGATTATTCTGTTTCTGAAATGTGCTGCTCCTCTTTCAAAAGTCCTGCTTATCTGTACATCAAAGAAAAATATTCAAAAAATACTGCCTTCATTTTCACACACAGTGCTGAAGATGCTGCAAGCACCAAATCATAGCTCATAGAATCAGGTCCTGAGATAGTTACTACCAGTAAAGAGGAATCCTTTGAGTGTATGCCATTGGTGAGCCGATGAGCATGGACCATAGAAGGGCTCCATGTAGAAGGTAAAATTGGCAAAAACATAACAGATTTGAAATGTATCCCATACATAATGGTGTAGGGTATAATTTTTGTTTTGATCACTTTTCATTCTTTAAAGTATTATTTGTTTGACCATAAATGTTCCATAATCTGTTAAGTTTTTTAAACTGTGATTTTAATAATATAAACCATCTATTTTAACTTCTATTCTTCTAAACAGCCAAGCTTAGCTATATTGAATTTTTGAACTAAATTAATAGTTGTGCTTCAGTTTCTCAAGCCACTTAATATTTCATGTAGTTTAATATGTAACTTAATTTTTGACGTGAGAAAAGGTTAGGTGTGTACCATTTGGATTTTGATACTGTGAATTTAGTGTTGGGGTGAGTCATTTGTTCACTTCCTTTTACATGATACTTTTTTCTTCAACTCTTGTTCCTAAAATATCTTGCACAGTCTTTCAATTGTAAATTCAGCCAGTGGAAGGAGATAGAGAAGAAAAAGCCAGTTTATTGGAATGTTGCTAGTGTGTGGAAGATGAGGTGTTCTTGTGTGTAGCATTTGAGGTGTATTGACTTCCAGCTTTCTCACTGCTGGGCTTACAGGCATGCTATTTTTGTGCTAAGCATAGTGTTTATTTTTCAACTCTGTCTCAAAACTCAGTAGTTCTTAGGAGAACAGAAAATAGATTATTGGAGGTATCCTGATCCAAAAAGATAACTGGACTTCCTTAGAAATGTAATGAACTTGTCCAAAAGGTGTGTTAAAATGTTTCCTGCTTCCCCCTGCCCCGCCCCTGCCTTAAGAGTCCCTCAAATTAAATAGAATGTGAAGAGCACAAAAAGTTTAAAAAGAAAGCATAATATTCAAAGTAGGAAAAGCATTTTCATATCACTTTCTGCAGCCTATACTTTAATAGGACATGAAATAAAATGTCAGGTGGATAATCTTCAGTCTAGCATGATCGTAAGTCATCTCTTTAAGTTGTCTAGGCAGACAGGATCATTATTCACTTGCACAGCCTATCTTGAAATATTTAATCTTTTTAGTAGTGGTATTTTATTGGATGATGGAAACTGTTTCTCCCCTGTTCTCTTCCAAAGTAATTTTTAAGTTTTCCATTGCATGTTAAAAGCTTTTTATTTTGCTTTTTTTCTGGAAGTGGGGGGTGGAAGGGAGGACTGGGCTTTTCAGAAAGCATACAGTTGACAGGATTCCCTCTTCCCTAGTAATAGCTTATAAAACTCTTATGTATGCACAAATATTTCTCTTGCGTGCATGTGAAATGCCTTTTCGTCCTGAGAAAAGTGTTCTCTGCAGAAACTACCCGTGTGTAAAAAGAAGATTGGCTTTAAAAGGCAACTGTGATGGGAACAGTGTCTTAGGGAGATGCAGCTTGGACTTGAGGTAAATTGAATGCTTTACAAAAATGTGGTTTTGAGCTTGCATTGACATTGTATGTAATATGGGTACACGTTAACTGTATAATGGTTTTTGTATGGTTTTTCTCAATAAATGTAAACTGATGGATAATAGCAATGTTTTGTCTCTTTTTTATGCTCCTATCCCTGCCTTCGTTAGTTTGCAATAACAGCTTCAGAGGAAAGATATTGCAGCAACTGGTACTTCTGTGAATGAACATCACCCACATGAAATGAAGTAAAATACATTTGTATGGCTATTAGGATAAATATTCATTCAAAACATGCAGTTTATTACCATTTTTTCAAGATGTTTCTGAATTTGTAAATATTTTATTGAGGCAAAAGAGTGACTTCCAATAGGTAACTGTACAAAGAGCAGTCAACAGATTCAACCACAGGAAAATTACTTTTTGAAATGGCTGCATAAATCTAATTTGCTGCAGCTTACCTTGTCTTTATGCTAAGCCTTATACACATGTTCTTTAATTTAAAGTGTGACTATTGTTTCTAAAATTACTCCTACAGAAGCTTAAGCTGAACAATTCAGATGGTGTTAGCACAGTGAGATTAGTGTTGATATCAAGAGGTCTTAGAGAAAAATAGTACAGTAGCCTTAAGAAGACAATGTTAAATGCAGCAATAAATTTATTGCATCAAGAGAGAACGAAGATTGCGAAGTTAGGCACTTTCTGAAATTATTTTTCTCAAAGCTTGCTTCCTGCCAACTTAGTTATGATAGGCTCATATTTTGTCACCAACTGTTCCTGTATCATTTAAGCAATGAAAAAGAAGTTTTAGAAGCCAGTGTTGGTACTAGAAAGACTACTACAAGCCTTACTGAGATTGTTTTAACTTTTGGATTATCAGCTGCATAGGTGATAAGAGCATAACAGTTTAAATGCAAGCCCATTTTAGAACAGAAGAACTAATGCTCTTCGGAACAACAACAAAAGTGAGCAGTTAGGTAATCTTTTATTCTTTAAAAATAGTACACTGGGGTTTTTCAAAATCATCAATAAGTATTTCCTTTTGCCAGTTCAATGCTTCTGGGATAAAGTAAAACAGCTTAAATATTCAGTGTTCATGCAAAATACACCAGTAGATTTACACTACTACACAAGTTTCCAGATTGAGTATTTAGCTTTATACTATTACACAACAGTTGGCCTTCAAATGTGGGAGCACTATTATCATTCAGCTTTTTCCTTTAGTTGATCTTTCATATGTTGATTCCTTCCTTTTAGCCTTTAATACTCTTTTTTTGTTTTGAGCAAGGAACCTGGACACTCTCACAATTTGAAGGTTATTCTTATCCGGTGCAGGAATGACAAATCAATGCATATCCTTGCTTTCTTTAGTTGGCCCCATCAGAGAAAGAGATGATGCAATAAGAAAGTTTTGAGGGGAAGAAAGATTCCAGCTAAAGTAGAGCATTAGTAGTCATCAGCTAGAAAATAAAAGGGTTAAGAGAAACAGATAATTAGATTTTTGTAATAGGAAAGATGCAAGAAGAATATTTGAGAATTAAGTGAATTAAAATGCTAACTCTTACTTTCAATGGTGAGAATACAGGTGCTAGCAGATGTGCCTCTGTTATTGACTGCTTTACACATATATTCCCCTTCATCTTCTGGGAAGGTTTCTGGCAAGTAAAGGCAATAGGTTTCTCCTCTTTCAATATATTGATAGTCCTCAGAGTCCTGCAACATTTCCCCTTCAAACCACCATGTAACTTCAGGTTTTGGTTCTCCGGTAATTTTAACTGTAAATCTCACTGGCTCGCCATCAACGACTGATGTGTTTTTCAGTGACTTCTTGAACCAGGGAGCTCCAGATCGAGCTTGATCCTCCTCATCTTCGCAAGTAGAACCATTAATAATGCTTCCCTCTTCTTCCTCTTCCTCTTCCCTTTTCTATTTTAAAATAAGCTGATTTAGAACATTGAAAGTGGCAATAGAACTATAGCTAGTGATACTATTTGATTATAGAAAAATTACCATGTTTCTGAGAAGGGAAATGCCACACCTATCCTCACTACATTTCAACATAGGGCACTGAATCTGGATATGGAACAAGGCAGTAAAATGGATTTTAATGAGGCTGGAATCTTGGGGTAAAATATAGGCATGAATGTAGATTCCATTTTCAGATTATTCAAAGGATATGATGAACTTTCTTTGCAATTATGTCGTACTCTTCAAGAATACGTGAAAACACCAAAAGCAATTTTACCTTATTGCAGCAATTCACAGCAGCTGTTAAAACAAGTATAATGTTCCTTTTATACCTCTGGCAGTGTTGCCATCAGTAGTAATCAGATGCTAAGTTAACAACACTTAGGACTGAAGAAAAGGTACTACATACCTTCTGTAATGCCGCATCAATTTCTTTTTGTTCAAACTGCATGCGTAGTAATTTCTGTTCTTCGATTCTCCGCTGCTCCTCCTCTTCCCTTGCTCTTGCCATTTGCTCAAAACGGGCCTTCATGTTTACTTTATGAGTAAACGGAGCTTCAGATTTCTTGGCTGGTCTCACATCTACCTCATCATCCTTGGGGGAAGAAAAAAACAAAATAGGACTTAACTCATTTATTACCTTTTAAATGTGTATGATAATAGAACTAGTTTTGTAGAGAATTAGTTCTTAACTGAGCAAAGCCATCCAGAGTCCTGTTTTTCTCAGAAGTTTGTTTAATGTTGGGTTTAAGATCGAGTCTCATAATAGTTTATCCCAGGGATAGGGCAAAATACTTGCAGAAGTAATTTTAAAAATGTTAGGTAGAAAAGTACTCCTAAAGGTTTATTTTCATATAGAAGTTAAATACTGTCTTGTGGCAATGGTAAATCCTTGGTGACTTGACGTTCATGCTGTGATGTTATGGTAGTTTATGGTAACCTAACGCAGATTGACCTTACAGAAACATAATTACTGTGACAGTCGTTAACTTGAAAGCTCAAAAATAGATGATAGGCTTTGAGCTGATACTGAAGTGACTGACTGTTGTGGATAGGAACCTCAGAATGAGGCTCAGGTCAGGCTTACTACTGTGAAAGGTTTCCTGCACTGCCACATGATTATGCCATGAAAGTTCACATGCGTGTTTTGGGTCACAGAGCATAGTGTTGATCTGTTGGTTAGACTGACAGCTTCATTTCTTGTTTTTTCTCCTCTGAAAAAATGTGAGAGGTTGCAGTCTGAAGCATAGATAAGTAGGCATTCTTCTCTGCTCTACCTTGAGAAATGAGTAAAGATGTCGAACAGACTTGAGCTTTGAATTCTTTGGTTTTGTTTGTTTTTTTTCTTAATTCATACAGTGGAAAATGAATTAGAGTTCAGAATGAGAAGCAATTCATGTGACAATTAATAGATTAATTCTCAAATAGGAATGTTTCAAACCCTCAGGCTGGCAGGTTTCAGGTTGTTAAGATGCTGAATTGAGGACTTTGAGCAGAAAAACAGATCTCTGCTTGACCAGATGACTGATAATAAACTGGTGCTGTTTCCTTTAGGGATGTTGAGGTGAGACTTCCTCACGCATCCAAAGGAGGGAACACAAAAGAAGGGAGAAAATAATTTTTGAAATATAGCAAACTGGTGAAAGCAGCAGCATTGTCCACTGTTGGATCATTAGTGTGTTAGTTAAGTGTATCATTGACAAATGGAGAACGCAGCTTACCTCTTGAAATTTTTCAGCTTCCCTTTCCCTTATTTCTTCATCCATTGCTCTTCTCTTAGCTCGCTCTTCTTCAATCTTCTTCTGTATTTCTTCTTGAGACAATTGTCCTATTTTTTCAAACTTGCTTTTTAAGTTCTTTGCCTGAATAGAACCACTTCTTTTTAGCTTTATTAATTCTTCATATTCTTTGCTTAGCTCAAAAGTTTCAGACTCTTCTTCCAGCTGTTCAGAAATTACAGAATGAGTAAGATGGAAAATGCCCCAGTTATTTTTACTACCTGTTCTCCCCACAGATAGGTGTAACTTAATGCACTTGAACAGTTCTCTTAGTTATTTGAAATCAGCACAGACACCTTTTCTCTCTAATTTCTTTTTTTTTTCCCTCACTATTCTCAGGATTACTGCGTTTGTATCGCATCTAAAGTAAATACAGATTTTAAAATGTCTTGCTTAAATGTACTTGTTGTTCAAGGATTGGTGTCAATAAACCACCCTTCACAGACTCAGAATACCAGACACCTAGCAATACAAAAACCTTAGTTATCCTGGATTTGTAATTTATCTCTCTTACGTACAATATCATATGACATAATTTTTTTAAATACAGCTACTTTGTTAAACAGAAATTTTTTTTTTTTTTTTTAATCCAGTAAAAAGCAAATTAGTTTTAAGGGTGTCATGGCCGGAAAAGAAATGGCAGTTCTGGATCCTGTAGTCAAACCACATCTGAAGCTGTAATTGTTGATATTTAACTCCCTCCTTTTATGACCTCTGACTGATAGTAGAGATGTGTATGCATTTTAGTTGGATGACCCTGTCTTCTCCCTTCTTTCCCAGGATGTAATACAAAATTTACTTGACAAGTTGGCAAGGTAGAGCCTTTATTACTCACTCCAGCTTTGCTTAACATAAATAAATAAATGTAGTCCTCTACCATTCATGAGGGAATAATAAAGACTTGCCACCCACAACCAAATCAAATTGCAGTGTACAGTTCATGAATGTGATGTTTTAGACATTTGGTATGCAAAGCAAATTTTGTGTGTGAATTTTAAAATCAGCTGTCACAGTCTTCAAACCCTTGATACACTGATTAGAAATAAGTTAAGGCCACTGTAATTCTTTCCTAATTAGTTAACACAGCGTTCTCTTGAAGAAAAGCAAGTATTTTGCTCTTTCCTACTTTCATTTTTCTATTTTCATTTGGGAACTAGATGTTTCTGTTCTCCCAATATTGTAAATATTACATAATTGTTTTAGTAATACTGTAGAATTTTCAGAAGTGACTGTAAAGTAAAATTACAAGTTTGAAATTACATTTCTACTTTAAGGGTGGCAAGGGATAAAAGCATTTTCCTGGTAGATCAGTGATAAAAATATGTATCTTATTATACAGAATGTTATGTTTTAAAAATCTGTTCTTGTTTTTCATTCTTTTCACATAATGCTGAAAGTACTGATTTTAAATTCCTTTTAAAGGAATTTTCAGTTACAGTCTTAAACTTTGAGGGTTTAGTAATTAACTGAAATGATCTATTATATTTTTATTCAGAGCATGCTTAACATATCCTTTGATATACAAACCTCTCCCATTTCTTGTCTTAACTGTTGAAATTCTTGCTTTTCCATTTCCAACTTTTGCCTACGCTCTTCTTCTGTGCGTCTCTTTTCTTCTTCCATTTTTTGTCTCAGCAACTCCTCAAAATTAATTTCCAGTTTACCAGGTATGAGAGATTCTTGAGAAACTGTTTTAAACATTTCTGGTGATTCATCATCCAGCACCTGCTGGAAATCAGAGCATTAATGATACATCCTGAAGGTACCTGTGATGAAATCACAGTGTTGCTCAGACACTTCTAGTACATAAAGGTAACCAAGTATTTTGCCACATCAGCCACAGTTCAGTAAGATGCAATATGACAATGTGGGTATTCCTCTAATGTTTTGGGAGAGAGTGTGTTTGGGGGGTTTTGTATTTGACTTTAGCTCTTTATTATTACAGTGCTAAACTTTTATAATGAAGATGAAGGTGTTTATTAAAATGTGGTCTTTTTTGCAAGATGATAGAGAGGATGTTCTCTAAATCCAGCTTTGGGACCTGAAACAATTCATTCCTGTTTACTTCACAGGCTATCATTAGACAAAGTGCTCGTGTTTAAATGTCATTGCTCCTAACACTGAAGTACATCTACCTGTGATCTTTTTCTAAGCAAACTGAATTATATTCCTGCTCTTAAGCAGTATTAGTATTCCCAGTAAGGATAACTGAACAGAATCTTCTACAAGAAACTCTTCTTGTGCACAAATTGACAATACTAAGTTACGTTGCCAATTCATTGCTTTGTACAACCCAAGAGGTTTCCTCCTTTCCCTGTCCTTTTCTCAGGCTTCACAGTAGGGTTGGGCTTTGATGGTCATTCATGAGCAGTTTGCTTATTTTGTAGACTAATTCATAAGAAGATGGTAGGGCCTAGGAAGGGCAATTTTCATTACTTCCAAAAGCAGGAAGCGTAAGAACAAGTACTTTATCAGACTGAATTTGTTGAAGAAAAGCATTACTAAAATATGAACCTGTATGATACAAAAATGGCCAGGTAGCATGACAGTCTGAGTTATGCAGGAAGATTTTTAAAATAACTTCTTGATAAAACCTATATAAATGTATGTTTGTGCATGTAACGATGTAAACTTATTAACAGAGAGTCTCAACAGGAACGTTCTGTAGATAAATGTGTGAGATGAGGTCAGATACTGATCTAGAACTGCGTGGTGATGTGACTTTTGGCACTGTTTAATCAGCACATGTTTGAAAAGCCTTGTGGCAAACATTGAAGAGCATAATGTGCCTTAAATTGTAGGCATTCCCAAAGGTAGTTATCAGTCAAATGCTAGAAAGAATTAAAGGAGCAAAACTTTCATTTGAGAAAGTGTTTTGACTAGCTTTACAAAGAAACAGATAATAAATATTTTTTTATAAGATTCTTTGGCAGTCCCTTTTCTCTTTATTGCTACTTACTGCCATTGTAACTTACACCTTTCACTGCTGTTTGTGCCATCTTAGTACCACTGTCATGACCTCCTTTGCCCATATCCTTTTTATTTGTCACTGCTCTTTCAATAGCCCAATCCCACTCAAATACTGCTATTCACTGTAGATTTCCTTCAGACTTTCCTTCTGAGTAAGCTTACAGTTGGACTTCAGTCCCACCATTCCTTCCATTCTTCATTCGTTTTGCATAATATGAGCATGTTTGTTGAAACTGTGTTATGGAGCAGTGGAGTCAAAAACAAAGCTGTAAACTATTTCCTTTAATGAAAACAATGCATAGCCACATAGTTTCCAGAGGCTGGCCACAGCTAAATTAGCAAAGAAATGTGAAAGTCTCTTGCTTGTGATGCATTAGTTCATATGCTCATCACTTCAGGAAGATACAGAATGTAAGTGAATAGAAGCATTAATTTGAAGTTTACCAACACATGTATGTATAAACTTTAAAAAGCTGTGCCGTATGAGCAAATGCTGGCAGCTGTCTGCTCTGTGTTTTTGAATCAGTAAGTTATAAAAAGACAGTAAGCCAACTTATTTCTGGTTAAAAAACACAGGAAAAAAAGTCAGCTGAATTGTGTGATGCACAAAACCCTGTGGTTGGTTCAGTAAATATTTTAGCCATATTCTGTGAAGTGAGACTATACTTTTTTTTTCTGCAAAGTGGGAACAGATGGTAGTGAGAAACAGTCCCATTTCAACCATAGTTGGCAGCACAGTCAACCAATTTTCAGTGGGCAGCGACTGATAGAAAGTAGAATGCTTTTTATTCATGCTAATGGAAAGAGACTGATGGGTGAAAGATGAATGCTTCAGTCTGAAAGTCATCACGTTGATGGTGGGAAGCATGGAAGTATAAATGTAGCACAAGTAAATGTGAAATAGGGAGATCCTTCCAAAAGGAGGTGGTGTTTGTGTTTTCCAGCAACAATATTAATACCTCAGTGTGTGTATACTTTCAAAACTAAATTAAAATGAATAAACATGAAAAAGGTTCTAAAATAACTACTTAAATGCTTAAATAAAAATTGAATGTGAGGTTGTACTACTTCTGGAAGAGATGAGTAATGTGCTTTTAAACATTTAAAGAACATGTCTGCATTGTGGCTACGTTGTGTAGTTGTGCAAGATAGGGAAAGCACAGGCTTATATTTTCTGTTGTAACAGAAAATATGGTGTTCATATTCAGGATGCTAATTAACAGAAAACTTAACAAACATATATGCTGAAAATACATTTTCAGTTGATTTTTTAAATTACTGAATGTTTTCACTGTCTGCAGTTACAGCGCAATCATAGGCTCTGTGCTGCATCTAATGGATTAAACCCTGTTTAATCAGTGAGATTTTTCTGCCCAGACACTTGAGCTTAGGTTCTTGCTACACTGAGGCAGAAAAAAAGAAATTCTCAAGAAAGTAGGAAAAAGCAGAAGACAGCATTTACTTTCTTTGCTTTCCTTTAGTTGTCTGCTGGCTTTTCATAAAAATTGTAATGGCAGAAGTGCAGTAGCACTCTTTTTTTTTTTTTTTTTTTTTTTTTTTTTTCCCCCT